ATGTGCATTGTCGCGACATAGCGATGTGATGTCTTCAACGGGCGCCATTTTGTAATTTCATTAACGTTTCGATGAACGTACAGATAAAAATTGTCGATTTACAGATATTTGCTTGTTTTGAATGGTAATTGAATGATAGGCCAAGAATCCTCTAATTTTTTTAAAGAAAATTTATGTTTTAAAGAACGTGTACATTTTTTGGAGTCTCCAAATGACTCATAGAATCTTGATTCGACAGTGTATTTTCTTATGTATAATTATGGATAGAGTTTAACTTTTTATCACATCCTATGTAGGTACTCTTGGGGTGATTCCAATTTAATTTTTGACTCCGAAGATGAATCATAAGCTCGTCTAAATCAAATAGAAAATATATATTGAGATATTTGAAGCGGGTGTTGTGAATGAATGAATGAATGAATACTTTATTGTCCACCACACATAAAGGATACACAAAATTAACATATAGACAAACAAATTAATAGAATGGACAATTTGGCGGCCTTATCGCTTCATAGCGATCTCTTCCAGGCAACCAATGGCGTAAAGGAACGTTTACTACGTAGGTGGTGCAATATTAACATACATAATATATAACTAAATCAAATACATACATGTATACACATACACACTCATAAATACATATTTATATACATACATACATACATACTTATACGTATATATAAATATATATACGTATAAGTATGTATGGGGTATATACGAGGTGTGATCCAAAAGTAATGATAATGAAAATAAAACACGGTGATTAAAGTTAAAATAATAATTTATTTTTCTACATAGTCTCCTAACAAATCAATACATTTAGTCCATCTTTTTTCTAAATCCAGGATTCCCTTTGAAAATAATTCTTTGTCTTGACCCTCCCAAAACGCTTCAACAGCGGCCATTACTTCGCTATCGTCTTCGAATTTCTTGCCTCGGAGGCGTTCCATGAGCCGAGGAAAGAGGTAGAAGTCACTAGGAGCCAGATCTGGCGAATAGGGAGGGTGTTCGAGCAGTTCGAATCCCGTTTCTTGAATGGCAGCCATCGCAACTACGGCTTTGTGAGCCGGTGCGTTGTCTTGGTGAAACAGCACTCCAGCTCGCAGTTTGCCGCGTCTTTTTTCCTTAATGGCCTCCCGTAATCTTCTTATTTGGTCTGCCTAGTAAGAGCCCGTAATACTGGCTCCCTATTCCAAATATTCCACCATAATTATGCCTTGAGCGTCCCAAAAAACAGATGCCATAACCTTTCCCGCCGAACTTGAAACTTTGAATTTCTTTGGCGTCGGTGAGGAGGCTCGCTTCGAAGTCATCGATTTTTGTTTCGTTTCAGGATCAAAATGGTGGATCCAGGTCTCGTCCATAGTCATAAAACGGAACAAAAAATTTTCTTGATCTGCTTGGAACTTTTCGAGATTGACCCTCGAAATGTCAACTCGATTTTTCTTTTGCTCGTCGGTTAACATTCTGGGTACCCAACGCGCCGAGACCTTTTTCATATGCAACTCGTTCGCAAGGATTCTTTGAACGCTGCCATATGAGATCCCTGTGACCTCATCTACATGCCAGATGGTCACTCTTCGATCTGCCAACACAACATCTTCGACTTTTTTCACGTTGTCTTCAGTGAGGGACGTGGATGGGCATCCTTCGCGATGTTCATCTTCAGTGGATGTTCTGCCCTGATTAAACTTCTTGGCCCAGCGTGCAACTGTAGAATATGGAGGAGCAGAGTCTCCCAATGTTTCCACTAAGTCACTGTGTACGTCTTTTGAAGACATTTTTTTCAAACAGAGGTACTTGATGACAGCTCTAATTTCGTTTTGCTCCATGTTGATGTTATCTCTTTGACAGTTCGTATTCAAATGAATGTATCTCCCGGAAATCGTGATCTATTTATATGATTTTTTTAGGCTGACGTAGTGAGTATATAAGCAAGCAAAAATATTTTTTTTGGATTTTTATGTGGACCTGAAGTAACCGATTATCATTACTTTTGGATCACCCCTCGTATAAATATATGTATATATATACTAGACCTCAAGCAATATAATCATAATAATTTAGACATGAATAATGTAAGTGTTGTTTTCGCTAAATGTTAAAAATGTATTTGGTATTTGTCCTTATTTTTTTATGTTTTCTTCCTTCAGAAGCATAGATTTGTAAGAATGTTTTATGTATTTTTATATTGGTATACTATGCATGTATGAGAACTGGATATAGTAGAGCATGTGTGAAACTAGAGATGTAAAGGTGTATATATATATAAAAGTATTTATGATATTATTTATAAATTCTCCCACTGCCTTTGGGCACTAAGATCGCCTTTAGAGTTCTTCTATTTCGAAGAATGCAAAAAAAAAAGGTTAAATAAATGAAGGGAATTATTAGGCGACATTATAAGGCACTAACTAGACAGAGACAACATAAGAACAGCACTGTTTGGTCCACCTATTACCAATGCAATTATTTTCCTCAAGTATTCAAGCCTAACAGCGTAGGAGTAGGAGTATACATAAGTGGAAAGTTTTATCGATCTTAAAGTCCCAAAACGTAGACAAATGTTAATGCTTTCAACATACACGTAATATAGATTACATTTTTTTCAATTATAAAGAATGAGTGGTAGCGGCATCCAAATTAATCCGTATCAGAATATAGATTATATTTGTACAATAAATTCTCTTCTCACACGCGTTTGCGAATAGTTATTGAGTTAGGCATAAGTATGTTCATACTTAAGTAAAAAATAACCAACGATATACAGCGTGTCGTTACCATCGCGACAATAAATGAACACACGTCTAACGCTACTTGCCAATAATCATAAAAAAATATTAACATTAAACAAAATCCATATTTAAAAAAAATATTTTTCAAACAAACTAATTAAGTAAAAAAGAAACAAAATTTGTAACATCCTATACAACTCGCGCCACAGCGTCGCATTATAAGCCTCTCCTTCTAACAGTATGTTTTGTCTCTTTTAAATTCATTCAACCCATTCATATGCTTTGTGACCTTTACAAATGAACTTTACGTTACAGTTTTATACGTAAGGGTGTTCTAAAATTGTTTATTTTGGAAAATTTAATAACTCGGTAAATATTGATGTTTAAAGAATGTAAATGTTTAATACAGTTTTAAAAAGTTATCCCCTATATGTGTGTTCATTTGTTGTCGCGGTGGTAACGACACGCTGTATATATATTATTATTTTAACAGTATTACGCAAAGAGAATAAATATTCAACTAAATTTTCTCTAATTACATACTTTATCGCACGACCCCTGCGTAGAAGCGACGAACCTCCTCTATCGGTCCCCCAAGATTAGGCAGTATCCTGCACATGGCACTCGCTACCTTCTCGATCCCGGGGACGAGGCGCTTAAAATGTTCCTCAAAGCCCCAGCGACTGTCCAGATGAAGTCCCAGATACTTCATGTACCTTCCTACTCTGACTTCAGCACCACATGGACGTATGAATTGGGTAGTTCCCTGCTTCGAGGCAACTTGTGAAACCATAACGTCTCGGTTTTATGTGAGGCTATTTCCAATCCCAGCTCGTGGATCTTATCAATGAGTCTTTGTACTCCGAGCTCGGCGAGGTCCTTGGTCCCCTCAAAGGTACTCCTGCTAGCGATAACTAGTGTGTCATCCGCATAACAAACGACATTTACCTTAGCCGGGAAATCGACACGCAGGACTGCATCATAGGCAATGTTCCACAGTAACGGGGCTAGTACGGACCCCTGCGGAACACCACGCTGGATCTCCCTTCGGATCCTGCCGTATTTATCCTTGAATACGTATGAAATACACCTGCCGCGCAAGTAGTCCGCGATAACGGCTTGCAAGGGCACTTGATCGTGTGATAGTCCCCCCTTGATTGCATCCCAGGAATTGAATTAAATGCATTGACGATATCTAAACTTATCGCCAATACAACTCCACCCACTATACGCTCCTAGTGCTAATGTGTTCTGGTCCTTAATTAATCAACGATAGGTAAAAAAAGTTGTGAAAGTCACCTATATAAGAATTCTTAGCCCGGATATGCCACTAGAATGCCTCGCGTGAATATCTCCGGCAAACTCTCAAACCGGTCGAAACGAGTGGACAGTCGGGCCCTCTTTCCTTACACCTTCCTTTTATAGCACGCCCGTTGGCGGCACACAAATGCCATACACTATTATGGATAAATAAGGCAGACAAATTGCATTAAAGTGTATGCCTCATGGTTAATATCAAAAATATTTATCAATCTACCATAGTAAATAGTAATTGGTTGAACAAGCTTTATTTAAATTGCCTGACTGATACAATATTTAAATGTTAAAACCAAAAGATACTAATAAGATGCAAACTTTTGTTGGTGTCTAGGAATGAAATCAATGACTAGAAGTAAAGAAACAACAGAACTTTATCGAACGATCACGACTGCCAAATTTAGTTTCCCGTTAACACAACGCGATGTAAAATAAAGTGGCGACATTTACTGAAAATGTTATTGTACTCCTACGCCTTCTTAGTTTATACACTCATCCTTATAATTATTTCCTAGCGTGTTTCGGAGAAGGTTTTAGTACATTATGTGTTGGTGATTATTTATCCGGAATCGAAGCAGGGAATAGCTTGTTGTTTAATAAATAAAATTCGTTCTCATTTTGATAAAGTGGAAAATATCACCAGATGGTAAACGTAAGCGTTTGAAGTAAGAAAGATCTTCCAGGAAATAAACTTCTTTTTTCTGGAAGGTTCCTTAGTAAACCGCCCTAGTAACAGCCGCCCAAAGAAATTTGTAAACCCGTAGGGTTGCAGATGCGTTGCTACTTTTTAACATGGTATTTCGAATTTTGTGCTTTTGTTTTGCGTCACACGACTGTGGAGTACGACAGCTGAAATAAGCCCGAACATTTCCACCAATTCGCCATAGGACTTATTAAGTGTTACTGTAAATCGTGATAAACCTTTCACAGGTACAAATAGTGTGCATGGTGGCCATATTGTCTCTGACGCATGGTGCCTACATCAGCCGAATGGCGAACGTAAACAGACCCCGGTCACCGGCGGTGTTCCGGCCCGGCGTGATGCTGCACCGACCTTGGAGCTACCAGCGGATAATGCCAGCCGCCTCCTACAGGGCGCCCTACGTGCTGTATAGGGGACCGATGCCACACAGGTCAGCAGTTTGGAGATACTTACCCTAATACCTAAACTGATTAGCGTAGTGGATTGTGGACCCTTCTATTGCGCCAGGGGATGTGCGTTCGATGCGGAATACGGGAGAAATAGTTTGTTTTGACAGTTTTTTTTTCTATATTTGTAATATGTTTACAAAAGAACATTTTTTCATAAGTAAATTTTTCGTTTAAAAATACTGTAGCAACCCAAGGTCATTCCCAGTGCTGGCACCAAAAAATTGTTAATTACAATTTCGTGCGTTAAGGGTGCGGTACTTTAAATTAGTACAATACAATTTCATAAACTAACTACAAAAAAAAGAAGAAAAAAAAAATGGTTTACGTACTGGAGTTTTCTTGCAAGTAGTTCTTAAGTTTCACTTTATAAATATTTATTTTTTCACACTAATTCATTAGATCTTCATATGTCAACTTCAATGTTTTTACCATCGAACCCTAACTTGAAGGGACACCTAGAAAAATTAAGTACGTTTCCACCACCGCTTAAGTGTCACGCTCAAGACATTAGGCGATACCTAAGCGGTGACGAAAACGAAACTGGCACTTTTAGTGCACTTTTTAGTTTCCCCTGAAGTTAGGTTAGGTTAAAGCGGGAATAAGACTATCAATTAAAAAAATATATTTGCCCATCGATCTACTCCAGATACGCAATGAAGCCGCACAATCCAAACTTCCGCAACGTGCTGATGGGCGGGCCGTGGAGGACCGGCCGCCCGCCCTCGCCGTCGACCACCGAGTTCAGGGCTGCCCCTGCCCCCGTTCTGCAATCCCACGGTGGTACAGGTTGACTACGAATGCACTGCACACCCTATACTATACTGGACTGTTTTCCGTTCGCTGTCCTTGTAGAGGCATTATATAATACCACACGCTGTAGCCAGACTTCGCCTAGATAGACAATTAGAAAATACAAATGTAAACTTCTTTCATAGAATGATAGCCATCATCAAAAGCAAGCTGTCAAATTTGAGGTTTTTTTCCAATAAATTACAGCTTTTTATACGCGAATATAATGTACTAGTTTTGAATAATTGAAAAAAAAAAAAAAACGAAATCACTCCGACACCGTGTTATGGTCAGATACTACGGAGGTTTTTTTTTTTTTTTTTTTTTTTTAATGTTAAAAGTTGGCAAACGGGTTACCTGATGTAAAGTGATTAGCACCACCGATGGACATCTACATCACCTGGAGGGTTTTTTTTTTATTTTTATTTTATTTCACCTGGAGGGTTGCAAATGCGGTTGACAAAATTAAAAAAGTGGGTCTCGGCTAACTCAATCACCAGGCGAAAAGCGAAAGTATGGTATTTACACTTCACGCCGGTCTTCAGTGAGCGAGTGTTACTTCCCCGGATGACTGTCATTCAACTGGCCATTCGTGCTACATCCGTAGCTGCTGCGTAGCCCGAATACAGTTAGGGATTTACATTTGCATAAATGGCGGACTTAAAGCATTATTAAGGTAAAAATAAGATTTTTTTGATTGGCAAAACACATATATACAAAATTTATGTTCAGATAGATCTCTATACTTGGCTATCTTTCTCTATCTCTTCATCGAATCTTTGTAAGCTTTCAATACTTAGCAGCGAAGAGCAAAGAATCTTAATTTTCCATTAATTTCGTGCACAAATTGCACAAAAATTTCTAATCCCAAGGCGAATACAAACATGTCAGTTGTACAACCAACTAATCTAATAATTTCATAAATAAATTTCTTATCACATACGTAAAATATAAGAAAAGCTATATTTTAATATAGGTACTTACTGTTGCTCCTTGAATAGGAGGACTTGCTTCTTTCTTTTAAAGAATTCAGGCAAAATCTCCCAGCTCATTTTAAAAGAAAGAACGCCAATATTGTAACATGATTATCAATACAAATAGAAGAAAAATTTAACATGTCTTAAATAATAATAAACATATTAAAAAAATGTGTGTATACTTAAATACAAACGTAATATTCAATACTTCTTTAGTGTAACCAAAGAAATATAGCCAAAAATGTCATCCCCCGTGCCCGTAGTAACTACTCTTTGTTTGTGAAAAAGATATTAAATGTATATGGAACTTTTTAATTTTACTTTAATAATTTTCTCCAAACGCAACAAAAGAAGTATATAGCTTCGAAAATATAAATTTATACATAATTTGCGGCTTAAACCATAATGTTGTACAACTGATATGGTATTCGCCGAGGGAAATGCAATTTGTGGCAGCCATGTGTGACCGACAGGTGCGATACACACTATCCCAGCGCCCAACCTAAGCCTCTCCGAGAAACCCATTGTAGTCGCCGAGACGTCTGAAAGCAGCCTTAACGCTGAATCGGCCTCGGAAGCGGTACGTATGTTCGCCATCTTTTTTTTTATGCGAAAAGTTGTCAAGCGATCAGACTGTTCACCTGATGTTAAGTGAATACCGCCGCCCATGGACATCTGCCACACTCGAGGGTTACAGATGCGTTGACAACCTTTTGAAAATTGGGCTGTTGCGTGGCCCTACCACCGTAGAGTTTTTACGCTTAGACCATTAAGTTTAGTTTTTGAATAGTTTATAATGTTCTACTTTGTGTAAAGCCCTACGAAGATAAAAGCAGACAAACTCGTAGAAAAGGAAAACAAGAATAGACAAAGTCAGAAACACAATAAGTGTTCCATTTTTATTATTATATATTTATTTAACTCTTTTTCGAATGACATTTTTTATTTATCTTATTGCCTTTCTTAAATTTAGGTTTAGTCATTGTGGAGATATGCTAGTTTTGCAGTTAATTTTTGTATCTTCTATCCCCATATTATATCTATATATATCTTTAAATTTCTCTCTTATAGTTTTATAACAGGACATGCTGTTTTATACTTTTAGAAGAGTGACTTGATTTGTGATTACTATGTACATTTTACACTTGATTCAAACGAACAAAAATTTAAAACGAATTATGTTAAATACTATCACTATATTCCTTTAATATCAGACGAAGGCGACATACGAAGTAACTGAAAAGTATAATGAACCTTCTGGGTACCAAGCGCCAGTAAAAATAGAACCGCCCACAGGATTTTCAAAGCAATCGGTGAGTATTTGAGATTAGCTAAAAGTTAGACATTATAAGATAAAATTATACATAAATTTTATTTCATTCTTGTCTCCAGTCCGTTGAGTGAGGTAACTGGAAGACAGCCTTTTCAGTATTTAATAAAATGTTTGCGACATTTATGGTGTCAGAAATGTCCGTGCAACCCTCACATTTACATGAAAAACTTGCGTAGTTGCCGTCACTATGAAATGAAAAAAGTACAAACTGCAATCCTTCTGTTAAGATTGCTGGCGAGATAAACAATTTCAATAATAACTTCTTTAAGTGACGCGAACTTTACAAATTTTAATAAAAACTAACATACGGATTTCTAAGCGGTACCTATAGATGTTTTGCTCGTGAGCGTGAATGCTGCAAAACATTCGAAACATCGGCTATTATAAAATAAAAACAAACCGCGATAACATCCGTAAATTGGTTGTATCAAAACAAATTGCAATATCAAGTAAGTCATAATCTCTGTCTTCTTTTATAGGCGTGATACTTTGCCTCACTTTGTCATTACCATCCCATTTCCAGTCCTTAACAACACCGGAATTGCAACAATTCGTTCGCAACGGCGCAGGGTTCCACCAGCCACCGCAGTACGGAGCCTCACCTCTACCACAGGATGCGATAAGACCACAACAATTCTCAATGCAGGTGAATCAACTAATTCCAATAATTTTCGTTGAGTATAAACTATTTTTCTTTCGTCTGCTCTTTTCCTACTGACGTGGGGTCGGCACAAAATATGAATCGTGTTATGAATGGTAAAGGAACAAAAATACCTAGATCCGGAACGATTATCTGCGGGTTACACAAATATTCCATGTGGGAACTAAACCCACGACATTTGGCGCCAAATTCAATGGCTTCGCAACTGCGCCATCGACTCAACGCACGTGTGTAACCCAATAATTTACCAAAACACGTTACAGGGCTTCACCGAACTAACCGGCCATCAAGACCTACTGCAAACCGCTGCCGAGGGTATCATAATCCCGCCGAGCGCGCTCTACCAGAACGATCCAAACTTCCTGCAAAGGCTGCAGAGTCAACTGCTCCAACAGTACCCGTCGGTGGAGTTTATACCTTACGCGACGGACGCACAGCCGCAAATCCAGCAAACTTCTCCCGAGCCCGAGCTGTTCCTACTCCAGGACGAGGTGATGACGCGGCAAGCGCCGGCGTCTTTCAAGCCGAGCGAATTCCACAGGAACATCGTGCAGAGGGAGACGCAAGAGGGCTCTGTTCTCTCTCTAGTGCCGCACGCGTTCGCACCCGCCAACGTCACCGAGGGCACAGTCGGTGACACAGCTCCAGCCGTGCAGAACGCTTCGGATTCTATCGTGTCGGGCGCAGAGCCTGCGACGACGACCGTACAGCACGAGGTAGACGCGACGACTGAGGGGCAAAAGACAACGATCTTCTACGCGCAAGTGGGCCAGAGCGTCGGGGATGCGGTCGCCAAGGGTTTCTATACGGCCATAAACGACGTCAGGGTGGCTGCGGCTTTGGCTCCAGAGACGAGCGAAGGCGGATCTGATAATTCGAGCACAACGGAACAATCCGAAACCAAAGTCACCGAAAGCGCGGAATCGACGAGAGTAAGCAAAAACGAGACAAACAGCCACACAAACAAACAAGAGGATAAAGAAGCAAACAACGAAGTCGGAACCGCGTCGAGCGCTAGGCTAGAATCGCGTGGAGACGCGCCCAGCGTCGCTTACACGCTGCTAAGATCGCCCGAAGAACAGTCCCAGAACGGAGACGGTAACTACGCCGGCCAATTTGTACAGGCCATGGTGAGCGAAGACCGAGAGTTCAATAAAGAGAATCCAAGCACGCCGTCGCGGCGCCCCCCTCTGAGGCTATACGCAGTACCCGAGAAATTGGACAAAGCGCCTAAACAGGGGGCGGTGAAGGCGAAAATACCGCCCAAGAGCAAGCTTACGTTCGACAACAAAACCGGTGAACCGGTACTGAGAATATACGCGAGCTACTCCGAGAACCCTTTACAGGTGAACATCCTTAATTTAAAAATATAGTTATTTTCCTCTATACAGGGTTAATCAATATTCAAACCGATACTTAGAAAATATACCATAATTAATATGAAACCGAAGTAATTTTAGTTAATTTATTTAATTATTCAGTATTCATCCACCGTCATGTCATCGTTATTGTATCCTTTTGTCACTTACATAAAATAGAATACCAGATGTATTTTACTTATTGCATAAAAATATATTATTTTTTTATTTGAATTAAGTAATATATAATTTATATCGACGCAGTAATTGCTTTTATACGTTAATCTTACACTAGATTCATGATGAAATTGAGAGAACATTTCAAACTGACGTTTACTTTCAGAAGGAAGTGTTACTCTCAAAACTGTCCAGCATCAAGCATTTCAAAGAAGGGGTGGTGAGAAAACAGGACGTTGACAATTGGAAGGCAGCTACTTCGAAAACCATCGACAAGAATGTGCCGAAGGACGCAAACCAAATGACGCAATTCGGTCTTAAGCTTCGTTCTAGGAGTGACGATTATATACCTTTATTCGAGGAGTACGAAGAGTAGCTTTATACGTATTTATTCAAGTTATATAATATAATAAAATATGAAGTAGGGTGTAAAGTTTAAAAGCCAAATATTAAAGTTTTAGTTAAACAATCTTGAATGTCCAAATTGGTAATATCGAGTTTGCGCCTAAACATGGATCAATAACTAAAAAAATATTTGATGTTTAAATGTGATTGAGCTTTCAAAAGTTAGTGTTGCCAGAGACCTTTGGCTAAAATTCAGTGTACATATCTTTATTTAATATTAAGTAATATTTAATGCATTTAGCTCATTGTTATTTATTGCTAGATGAAAGCCGTTTAATAAATTAAAAAAAAAACAATATCATAAAACTTTTATTATATTAAGTCACTATAATTATATTAATCAATACAAACTCAACTTTTATACAATTTCCAAAAAACATTCTTATAGTTATATGTATACACTGTTACGATAAACACGATACAAAAAAACCCACGAAGTTTATTAGTTTAAATGTTTGGTTTTGTCGCAGACAGTTCAGTTTTACAAAAACTACAAAATTTGCAATAGATAGTCCATATTGAATTGTGTGAGAAGCATATATTTCAGAAGTGGCCTCATCTATTGTCTATGGTTCACTTTAAATTCTTGTTACAGCCAATGAATTGTCACTTGTTGTATATTAAAGACTACATTACACACTTTACAATTTTACAGCGGAGAAAACATTTAGGACAAGTGTTAGACAATATATTAAATACTGAACACCTGTGCAATCGTCTCGCTGTTATATCATAGCTCCTACAATTGTAAACAAATTGTGATAATATACTTACATTAGTCATTATTCCTTTTTAAAAAATATTATTGCAAGGATAAGAAAGCACTGAATATTTTTAAAATAAATAAATAATAAAAAAGCAACGGTGCTAAAACAGGAAAATTGTTAAAGTTCAACTTTGTTTTTAAGATGTTACAAAAATCTCATCTAGCAGTTTTAGAAGTAATTATCTAATCCTAAGCATTAAGTAGTACCAATCCATTGAGATGACATAAGATTCGAAAAAAAAAAATTAAAATTCCATTGACAATTCAATATCTAATTTTATCAGTTGATATTGCTCATTAGGAATTTAATAAGAAACATATCTTGCTTCTGTTTCCACCGCCGAACATGGAAGACATCTGAAAAAAAAATACGTGCAGAAAAATTATAAGGTAGAACCCGACCGCGATATCTGACCTCTACCTTGGAATGCGATACACTTCTCAATACATCATTCTCTTCCCTTCTCTGGCCTGTTTAGTAACACTGTTACATTACTTTATTTTTATATGTATGTATAAAAGCAAAGTAACAGCTTATGTATGTTCCACAGCTGGGCAATGGCCTCGTCTGTACAGGGGATGTTAGGCCATAGTCCACCACACAAACCCACTGAGGATGGGCTGACTTCATGTATCTTTAAATCATATTTTTATTATTGCACAGGTCTCCTCACAAATTTCATACTTTAACCGCTAAGCATGTGATAGGTCGGCAGTTAAAATTAAAAAATTTATTAATGAGATCACTGGGATTTGAACTCAGGTTTTCAAGTATATTGAATTAAAAGCGAGCTCCCAGACCAATTATTTTCTCAACATTTATGGCGCACCATAGTTGATTATATAAATAGGCCATCTGTCTCTAGTGCATACAAAGCACAGTCGGATAGCACACATTCATGAATTTTCTTTTTATGTGAGAAGTTGCCAATCGAGCAGACTGTTCACCTGATGTTAAGTGAATACTGCTGATCTACTACACCCGAGGGTTCCAAATGCGTTGACAACCTTTTGAAAATTGGAAACGCGAAAGTATTATACTTCCACTTTACGCCGGTCTTCTGTGAGGTCATGGTACTTACCCAGACAAGCCTGCCCATTCGTGCAACAGCCGAGGCTGCTGCGTGGCCCTACCACTGTGAATCTTATGTTCATTAAAATAAACCATTAAATAAACATAAGTTGTAATAAACAAATATAAATCCATACTTATTTTCTCTTACTTTCAATAAGTGTAAACCAATAACCACTCTGCCACAAAGCCTCTAAGTTCATCTAGACAAAATCAGGACAAACTTTAATCACAAATTTTCTGAAAAAGTGTTATACTGACAACAGAGTCTGGTAGGTATATAAGTTTTGTCCTTCACAAATCTTATGTTTGCATCATGTTTTTGATAGCAACATGATCTAATAAAAATACATTAATCAGACCATAGAACTTATTCTGTACGATAGAGAAAAAAAATGCTAGAAAGTTTGAAGAAAAAAGTAATGCTTTAGCTCTGTAAATGTTAGATAATCAGTGTTTCAACTATATCCTATACTGTTTTACAATGAAAAAATTGTGGATTTAATTTTATGATTTGAGATCCCTTTGCATAATGGGTTAAAGTGCTCAAAACTGAAACTTTAATCAGATTTCTTTGATATATTCACATGCACCAATCTTTTTTCTTTAGGAAAACTGTTAATATTTAGATAAAATAAAATATTGATCATTTATCAACATTGCATGCAGTTTAGTTCAGTTGCAGCCACTTAAAAAATTTTTATGTCCTTAATGGTTTCATAATTATTTTAGTTTATTAATGGTGTAGTTTTTATCACAAGGAAAAGTTATTCAGCTGCCTGCTCAGAGCCTAATATATTTCACATTTTTATGCAATAAATTAAACTTTGTTAATATTCTTTTTGTTTATAATCTAGCATACAATGGGAGAAACAACTGCACTTGCAGTTTATTTATAATCTGTCTATTGTTGTATTAAAAAGGGTATTAATAAAATGATATAAAAAAAATCGCTAGATTTTAATTGTGACTTATCTTTTGTATAATCGATAGTCTTACCTCAATGGACATGCATTATATAACTTGTTGACACTAAGAATTTGCATTCAGTTTCTCCAGTTGGTCCATGAACCATGGGTAGCCGACATCTCGCTTTGTAAGTATATCGCAACCAGTCTCAGTAACTAGAAGGGTCTGCTCAAACTGAAATTAATTAATTTAGTATTAATGAAAATAAACATGTTAACTAAACTGAATAATAATTCAAACTTTTTATTGCGTATTTTGAGCTGGAATAAGTTTATGGCGAAATGAAGAATGAAACCATGAGAACCTTAAAGATTTTAGTGCTTTTAATATGTTTTTAAATCCTGTATCAAACAAATAACGGAATTTCATACATTTCCGACAGATGTCATTATAAAGTTTCATTTTAAATTTATTTTTATTTTACTGCTGTAGTGCCATTTAGCAGATTCTGCTGTTACATAAATAGGTAGGCTCTGAACTGTTGTTGTTACTTAACAAGGCTGGTAAAGTAACAGAGCAATGACAGAATACCAGTATTAGAGTAGAAGTACTATCTATACTTTAACATTTTGTCAAATTTTGTGTGAGTCAAGTTAGCAGAGCCGCATTATGTAAAGGTTGGTAATGAATCTACAATAGCTCAGGTTAAGTAACCTAACCTGATGTTAAGTAATAACCGACCCCATGGAAATTTGCAACACCCAAAGGGTTGCTGATACATTAATACATTTTAATAAAGAGGGCTCCGGTTACCTTACGTGTGGCACTTCCTCGGAAGGACCTGTGTTTTTATAAAAGAAAGGATTGCATTGCACACCTGAGCGGACCGTGAGCCATCAGCTGTGACAGCTGTCCAATGATCCGGCCACTGCTCATCGCGCCATCCACCTTCGTTGATCATTGGCTCAATTGTGAAACAGTGGCCAGGCTTCATCACGCCTACTGCTTTGTTCTCTGAAATTTAGGATATTAATGAAGTTGAAAATATCTGTATATAGCAAAGGTAAAAAAAGGAAACTAGAACAACAGCCTTTATATGCACCACTCCAGGGCAAAGATGTACTCCACCACGGCTACCTCACTGCGGATTGGCGGTGGTGGCAGACTAGACACTTCCAAACATATTTATATCTCTCAGACACAACCTGTATCTGTTATAATAAAGTTAACCATCAAAAACAATATCTATCTGCCTTTCACACTATACAGCGTATTGTTACCATCGCGACAATAAATGAACACACGTCTAACCCTACTTGCCAATAATCATAAAAAAATATTAAAGTTAAACAAAATCCATAATTAAAAAAAATATTTTTCAAACAAAGTTATTAAGTAAAAAAGAAACAAAATTTGTAACATCCTATACAACTCGCGCCACAGCGTCGCATCACAAACCTCTCCTTCTAACAGTATGTTTTGTCTCTTTTAAATTCATTCAACCCATTCATATGCTTTGTGACCTTTACAAATGAACTTTACGTTACAGTTTTATACCTAAGGGTGTTCTAAAATTGTTTGTTTTGGAAAATTTTATAACTAGGTGAATATTGATGTTTGAAGAATATAAATGTCTAATACAATTTTAAAAAGTTATCCTCTATATGTGTGTTCATTTATTGTTGTGGTGGTAACAACACGCTGTATAACAAATGGCAGGAAAAGGATGCAAAATAAATGTGAATGGAGCAGTATTGTGTTTTGTGTGCTTATGTCTAGGAGTGAACTAATGTTGGCAGATGACAAAAAATAAATTTCTTGTGATATTAATTTTAAATTGATTATAGAAAGTGCTGCATGGTAAACATAGATGAGTTAGTGCCGCAGTTGCCAAAATATTGGTTTAGACCCCAGGGTCGTAGATTGTTTCCACACAAGACAACTATTTGTCTGACCCACAGACAATTGTTTTGCATCTGGGTGTTTGTCCACATGAAATATATTCATGTAAAACATTCTTACAGTACAGGATAATGTTATCTTAAAGCAAGGGTAATTGTTTTTGAAGAGACTACAATTGATCTTCTAAGTCACAGTGATTATTGGAACTTACTATCCAACCCCTTCCACACCAAATAAAATATAATGGTAGACATGAATAAGAAAGCTTTAAAGTGTGTTAAGTGTGTTGTCACGGCAAAAGCTATACTTACTGGCATAATGTGGAACATTTGGTGCTGTATGGAACAGTCTGTGTATACCATGACCGCAGTATGAGCGTACCACACTGAGACCATTAGCTTGTGCATGCTTTTGAATAACATTGCCTATTTCCCTATACTTTTCACCTGGTTTAACAATGTCTATTGCCTTTAGAAGACACTCGTATGTGACTTGCACCAGTTTCCTACTGGATTCTGGCACTTTGCCAACAAAGAATGTCTCATTAAGATCACCATGAAACCCTCTATGATAGACTGTAACATCTACATTACATAGGTCACCATCCTGAAATAGAATTATATTAAATTTCACATGTGAAGAATAAAACAAAATGAAAAACAAAACATGCATTAATCAATATTGAAAAAAAAAAAAAAGATGAAATAATAATTAAGCAAATTATAAACTGGTACTTTTATTCATGATCTCTTACTATTAAAATTCAAATTTAGCTGAATTAGTTTTATTTTCAGTGGTTCAATATTAAGTGGAATAAACTCAAACAAATCAGAATAACTTTTGTAAATTTTCACAAGGCACTCAAATGAAATTAATATTTTTAGATTTTTTTACCAATATTGTACTACCTCTAATGGACGTAAATCGGGTATTCCATGACAAATAACTTCATTGACAGATGTGCAGCAGCTATTTGGAAAGTTGTGATAGTTAAGTGGACTTGGGTAGCACTCCCGTTCAACACATGCCTCATGCACGACTCTATCAATTTCATCAGTTGTTACACCAACATCACAAACTCTGTAAAATAATTTCTGTGATGAACATATCATAAGCATTAATGATATTCTGATTGACAAATGTAACAATTTAATGTGCTATTTTAGCCTCGACTCGCCTGTGAATGTGTTACGCAAAGGTAAATATTTCCCTTTTGAAAAAATATGCATTACATACATTCGTTTTTGTAAAATTGATACACTTACTTGGCGGCTTCATCCAGAACTTCGCGGCCAAGACGACAAGCTATTCTCATTCCCTCGATCTCTTCTTCGTCCAGCACTTTGATCTGGCCAGAGCCTTTAACAGCATTCTCAGAAACTGGGTCTCCTTCGGGATGGTCTGCGTAATCCGGCCGTTGTATATGGGGAGGCACCGTCCTCTTTAATCCTGGAGGGTACGGCCTTAACTTCCCCGTAAAATTATATGAAGGCCACGGATTATAATCAACGTTGGACCCATCTGTACTTTCACCCTCTAAAACAAAATTGTGTCGAAATAAAACAGATTGGGTCATAAAATAACACCCTAACCTAAAAACTTACTCGCTAGCGAATGAATAACTTTGTGCCACTTCCAAGACTTTTTAAAACAGTCCTGGTTGCAAAAGAACGAGCCCTGAATCCCAAGTTTTATACATGTTGGGCATTGTAACTGTGCAATGGACTTGCAACCGGGTGTTTCACACATTCCAATTGTAGCCATTTTTTTGCTTCTCTAAAATTTAAATGAAACGCACTGCCAAACAACTGTCATGACAGTAATGACAGTTACTGCCACTAGTACACAGGTTCTATATTATGTCTTACAAATAGATAGAAAACATTAAGAAATAATTTCTATCTTTGTTCCGAGACAAATACGTCTTACAGACAGGTGAGAATTAAATGTGTGTGAACTATTATTTTAGTTTGCTTACTAAAGAAAATAAGGAATCATGCACAATAATATAAGTAGGTACATGAAAAAAATATAATTTACTTTCGCTCTCATTTTTTCCAATCAATATATTTTGGTCATTTGAGACAAAGTATAACGGAATTTCCAATTCTGTCATTGTTGGTTCTTTAGTTTATGTCTGAAAATAACAGTCTATTTAATTTAAGCAAATATCACTAGAATAAAATAATTTAGAAGAACAAAAACAATATTAATATCTTAATATTAGGTTTATAAAAAGTTAGGGACATTCCGGGTCGACATAGTTACGAATTACGAAATACTGGTGCACTAAGCGCAATTTGGCTGGGAAAATGGGGATAAATTAAACAATAAAATATATCTACAAACTTTATAAATTTGTAACTGAACTATCTCATAATCAAAATATTCTTCACTGCAAATGAAATAGCAATTTGATTTAACGTGTTTTAAACAAGCGAATAAAACAAAATTTAACTAAGGTGTTCTTTTTAAAATGCCATATGTTATAGGTACTAAATTATTTTGACTGTTTATTTACTCTAATGTTCAAATATAAAACTATATACTCTTTCATTTAATATTTTGGAGAAATATAAATAAATATAAGGAAAAATAAATTAAAATAATGATCATGCTATTTCATTAAATTCAATATAAAAGATTTGCAGATGTTGGCTGATGACCTCACATCTAATGCCACAAAAAGTAAATATTTATATTGCTATCGAACATGGCAGATGTATGATTATTTCAACGTAGGGATGGCAAGTAAAAAAATATATATCGTATCGACATTTTAAAAAGGATCGATAATTCATCATCATCAATATCATCATTTCAGCCTGTTTGAGTCCACTGCTAAACATAGGCCTCCCCCATAGACTGTCAAGAACGACTTCCCGCACATTTGCACAGGTCGTCACTCCATCTAGTGGGGGGTCGTCCCACACTGCGATGGCCAGTACGAGGCTGCCACTCGAGACACACGATAATTATCAAGCGAAAAATATTGATATATCGTCATTTTCGTCTTTTTTTATAATATTCCTTGAAGTAGGAAGATGGTTCTCACGGAAAGAAAAATTTTAAAAATTTCACTTTTCTATATTCCCGTACAAAATATTCGTAATAATAATTAAAAGTCAATTTGAACTTTAAGACCATACCATAAAGTTTAAGTATTAGTGGAGGGGTTCCGGGAAGGCAAAACGAGTGAGTGACTGTGGTAAAATGTCACCTGAAATGTAAACATCTCTTTGCTGTGCATCACTACATAGGATAAAACAAAGGCGTCCCGCTGTCTGTCTGTCCCTGTGTACGCTTAGATCTTTAAAACTACGCAACGGATCTTGATGCCGTTTTTTTTTTACTAAATACAGTGATTCAAGAGGAAGGGTTATATGTATAATACATTGCACCCGTGCGAAGCTGGGGCGGGTCGCTAGTTATTTATACATATTTTCAAACTATTCAAATTTTGTAATTTAGAATAGACGAAAAATGGAGATTTTAAAGTTAAAGATGTGCGAGGAGCATATCAATATTATCTATTAGCATTAAGCACGAAACCAAAGTTGCGCTAAAAATATATCGAGGATAATTCGATAGTTTAAAATATCGAATATCAATATATCGCGATAAAAATCTCGACGATATATATCGACACGTATCTAAAAAAATATCGGTAAATTTATATATCGATTTTTTTGCCCATGCTTATTTCACCGATTTCCGCCTGAAGAATAGTTTTGTATGAGTTTTAATCTTTATGACTAGAAGCAGAATTCTCGACTAAAATACAGATACAGCCAATTTGCCAAATACAGCATTTCATTACTTATTCATGTTTTTATTCGTAAAAACAGTACAAGTACAATCATTTAACCTTTTTGACTTTTAGAGAAGTTTATTGCTATTTCTTAATAAATATTGACTACATTCCTTATAGTATGGAATATATGTATAAGATATTTACTTACTTAAAAATAAACACAACCGATACAACCGTCCTCTTGGCAGATCTAACGACCGGATTAGCGTATTTCTTGATCTAATATATATAAAATCCCACGCACTTATTATTTCAGTACTGTTCATGTCATATATATCTATAAAACAATTATGAAAGCACTGGAAGATACAAATTTTAACTGACAATTTTTACACGTGAACGATGAGTCCGATTGAATTGACGTTACTTTTGCGTTTGATTATATGCGTTCTATTTTCGAATGTTTATTTTATTCCCGCCATCAACGGCCATGAAATGCTGTCAGTAACAGAAGGAAAGTATAAATTATGCGATCGTACAGTATGTTACCCGAGATTAGTAGATCCAGCTTTAATCTGTATTTTTATAAACACTCCAACGTAAATGACGTCTGTATAAAGTGTCTGTTGATCTCGCAAATAGTTCAATTACATTAATATGAGAAATTTGTTATCGATAACTTCTGAAACACTTCAGAAGTTATTTAACGAGTCAAAGTTATTTAACGTTTAAATTAGCTCTCTTGCCACTTGGGCCTGCCAAATTGTAGTCAAATGCATCCATCTTTTATCTGATAGTCGTGCTACGTGGCCGGTCCACTTCCACTTAAGCTTTCTCATATGTTGCAGAACATCTATTTATATACATTGTTTTTTTTCCCTTATGTTTTTTGATTTTATTTTAAACCTTCAGCCTAATATACAAGATGTTTGTATTTTATCTGCCGCATTTTTGTTCTAGATCCTTCATCTTCTAGGCTTGTAAGCCGCATGATAAGTAAGGTAGTAAACATCTATCCATGACTCCATGTCATGTTTATTCTCCTTCATCTTAAAAATTTGTCTTATATCACAAAGGTAAATTGTTTATTATGTTTAATTATTATTTTACTTCCTTTTTTTATATCATCATCATCCTACAGCCTGTTCTAGTTCACTGCTGAATATAGCATTGATATACGTATATTTTTATTTGCATAAAGTTGTATTGACATTTTGTATTATACCTATACCTGGCCCATCATATGTTTTTTGTAATAAATAAGCCATAAATAATTAAAAAAATTAAAGAGTTCTCCTATGTATAGAGCAGGCCTTTGCTCAGCAGTGGGACATGTATAGACTGTTATTATACTATATGCAAAACTTATTGCTTGGGCGCGTTTGGAAAAAAATATGAGAGCAACTAACTGACAGCCAAAAAGCATCATGATCAAGTTTTGTTAGGTTTTCCTTGCAAAGCGACCAAGTTCACTGTAGTAACATATACAAACAATGGCAACCAATAACTTATAATTTACATAATTATTAGAATTTCAAGCTGTGTAATTTAACCGTTATCAATTGCATATAATGTCTTTTTCACAAATAATGAGTATAGCACATGGTACAGTAGGTATGCAAAGCTTTTTTTATGCTTCATTCGATACAAGCATTCCCCAAAACACAGATGTTAATTATTGTTAATGATAAACTTACTTTAACTCTTGCCTTTCCGTAGTATCCGAGCGTTGTTTTTTTTTTACATATAAACATGATGAAAACATTTAAGAATAATCTTACATGCAAATGTTTGCGCGTTTGGATGCACGCTTTTAAACGCATTTCAAACACGTTTTAAGAAGTCGTCAAAGTATTGCTTAACTGTTGACTAAATTAAAAGTCATTCATTCCCGCCCGGCTTTTGAAACACTGATCATCGTAGTAGTTAACTAATCAGCTTGCAAATGCTTTTCAAATGTCATTTGAGTTGCAAAAGGATACTTCAATTCTTTGAATTTATCATTCCTATAATTAAGAAAGACATTATGATCAATTCAGATAGTTTAATCATCCTTTGGCAATTTAATTAACATTTGAAATGCCACCTGACAGTTGATAAAATTATCAACTGTCAAATGGTACAAAAAAAAATTAAATAAATGAAAACCTTAGTGAGTAATAAAGTTAAAAATGGGCATGGCATGTTAATGCAGCTTTTTATGTTGCATTATTTTAGACGTCCTGTTCGTCAAATCATATAAATGACCATTCACGTACCTATAATATGCGGCCCTTATGGCTTATTAACTCATGCAAATTGTGCGGCGAGCCTGCTATAAAAGTTTTAACAATAACCTCGCTGGAGATAGAGCAGGTTTGGGGTGAACTTTATTACGACGACATAAACCTGCCTCATTTATATAATATATATATAAGTTACTTAAAAACTTCGATAATAAATTGAGAACGTCTGCTATTAAAAGATTGGTGGTGACATAGTGATAGGGGCGTCGACTAGAGGTCAGTCAAGGTCATGATATATTGTCCAAGCATGTTATGGCGGTACATAACCTTGACTGAAAGTTACGGATATCCGAAAAAATCTGTCCGAAAGGGAAACTTAATCCGATATACAATTTTCGAATAGTTTCGGATAAATGACACGTTATTTACAAATATTTGCGACTGGCTCAGCCGACACACTGGCTCCAATTCTTGCAACTCGAAGCTAGACGACTTAACATAACGCTTGAAACAGAACTAAGAAGGGATACCGGGCTACAGTTCTTCTGGAGATCGTTATTATTTTTCTTGAAGAATAGCACAACCATACTCCTGTTTCACGCCTCTGGTGGAACAGAACGCCGTAGCACCACCCGGAAGAACGGAATTAAAGAGTTTCTAAAGGAATGTGAGTACCGGTTTATTTATCCTCTCCTGGTGCTTTGCCATCCTTAAGATAGGAATGGTGGGCTTTCGGTAAGTATCACAATCTCACAGAAGATCAGCGTGGAGGATAAGTGTTACAC